AAAACAAGTCTATAAGTAAGACTTTATCAAGGAAGAACAATATTTATTAGATTCCACTAAAGTACTTTAATTAAACTCTATCAAACTCTATCAATCTGTCCACAGGACTCTTTAGTAAGCAGTCTTAAATCTCTAAGTAAACAATCTCAAATCTACACTGGCGATCTACTTCTAACATATGCTTCCAAGGATTCACTGCACTCTTTTCATAGGTCCCTACCACTGTACTTTGACTGAAAGGACTGGTAATACCTGGTCAATAAGGCTAGGACAGGCTGTTCAGAGAATTGGGGCTCCAGATCTGCCCTTTTTGTCCATCTTCACACACTTCTCCTATATTGATTGGCCTGTGTCCAATACTAGCATCAAGCAGGGGCAGGAAGATCCAATGAGATGGATATTTTCCAACATTGGGAGTTCACAGAATATGGTTTCCAACCTTCAACTGTCAAGTGCTATCCTTGTCACACTGTGCCTCTAGCCTCCCACTGATCTGGGCACCATCAAGTTTGTGTAACATTCTTCTAACAAAGCACTGGAAGTGTAAACGACTGTTAGTTCTGAAACAATGTGGTCAAACATTTCCAGATCTGCCTGGTTTCAATGGGAAATTGATTGTCCAAGGCCCAGCTGCATGAATAGTGTCTGCTCCAGCTCTGCAGTTTACAAATTGCAGAGTCTGACTAGGTTTAAACTTGGCTTCCACTGTTCGAGTTTGATCCATGCTCAAGAAAAAGTGGCAATATTTCTGTAACAATCCTGGAAGTTATGGACAACACAGTGTGGAGCTGGAGGAACACAGCAGGCCAGGCAGCATCAGAGGAGCAGGAAAGTTGATGTTTCGGGTCAGGACCCTTCTTCAGAAATAGGGAGGGAGCAGGGAGCTTAGAAATAAGTAGAGAGAGGAAGGTAGGTGGGATGGTGATAGGTGAGTGCAAGGTAGGGAGTGATGGGGATTGGTCAGTGAGATGGGTGGAGTGGATAGGTGGGAGAGAAGATGGACAAGTTGTGTAAGGTCAAGGAGGCGGGGATGAGAGGGAGGGTTGGACATGGGATGAGGTCCCAACCCAAAACGTCAGCTTTCTTGCTCCTATGATGCTGCCTGGCCTGCTGTGTTCCTCCAGCTCTTCACTGTTGCCTCTGACTCCAGCATCTGCAGTTATTGCTATCTCTGGAAGTCATGGGTCTCCTAAGTGCATTCCTTTACTGTTTCCAGGTCAAATGCTTGAATATTCTAACATCACAGTGGGTGTATCACACTATGTGATCTACAGCAGTTCAAAAAGTCAGATCACTGCAAACCTGTCAAGGGGAAGTAGGGAAGCACCTTAAAATACTATGAAAGACTTTTTTAAATGTGATATGGCAATGCATATTGGGAGTTCTCACGTAAAATCACAAAAAAAACTAGTATACAAGAAATAACGTGGTGTGGTAACTCATATTCAAGTTGGAGTGATATGGTATTTGAAGGGAAGCTGGAAACTGGGTTGTATTTCCTATTACCTTTGGAACTTGTATGCTAGCTTTTTGTGATTTTGTATGAGAACTCTCTGTAACTTCCTGCAATCTTTCTCTATTCAAATAATATTCGACTCTCCTATTCTTGCTGCCAAACTGCATAGCCTCAAATTCTCGCATGGTATATTTCAGATGACAAGTTTTTGTCCACTTACTCAACCTGTCTATGTCCCTCTGTAGACTCTTTCTTTTATCCTTAAAATCAGATCGGCCCTTCCACTGAAGCTGGAGAATATGGCAGAGGTATGCCTGATGAGATTACTTTGCAGCTGTCATACATCACTGATATACCATCCAGTTCTCGGCACAGTGACGTTAAATGCACTGTATGCTCGGACTTTTGACTCGTGAAGGTCTTTGTTGCCAAACACTTATTGCCATTGTTTATAGAAGGCTGAGTGGATCCAACTGATCCGATGTTGGACTTCCTTATCAATTGCGGTCTTTTGAGAGAGACACCTGCCAAAGCCCAGGAAGTGGTCAACATATTTAGAGTGGAATATGTAGATAACAGTGTATAGGTTAGTATGAGTTTCAAGGACAGACCAGGTTTCCTGTCTACAGAATTAAATAGATCAAGAATGGTTTGGATACTGTTGGAGGAGATGGCTTCTGAGGGGATAGCAGTGGGAACCAGACAAAGTGGGAATATGGTTTTGAAATAGAGGATCAGCCATAATCATATCAAATATCAGGGTAGAGCAAAGTAGGCAGGGACAGTACAAATTGTTGAATGCATCAAGAAGCCGATTACTGATGACAAGCTAGTGCACTGATGATCCTTCCTTGACCTTGTGCTGATGATTGGGAAGAGCCCAGTAAGGATTTAGATTTGTCCCTCTCTTTTGGCAGTGGAGAGGCTTCCCCTTTGATCGCGATCTTGCTCAGCTGCTTATCCCAGCAAAAAAACCTTGCCGCCCTTACAAAATGGAGGACCCCCATGACCTCATTGTTGCCTCAGTAGTAATCACGTCTCTTTATCTGTTATTTGGCCTCCTCACTCATCCAGTATTCATTAATTGGAATACCCTGACATATTGGACACTGCCAGCAAATTCTTACCCATTATTACTGAGTTCTGCCCGCCTGCCTGATGTCCTGCCATTGGAACTTCATCCCTGACAGTGAAATCCCACACATTATTTCAGCAAGTGAGAGGTCATTCTTCAGATCAAGGTCCCTAGGGCAGTGGTGGAAGCAATTAATATTGATTCATTCAAATACAAATTATCTGGCCTTACTTTGAAGAATAATATTTCACAATCCAGTATATAAATGATTTGAGACATTGAAGATGCAATGTGTAGTGTTATTGGGAGAAAAAATTCTTTACACCTCATGTTCCCTAAGCTTTCGATCATTTTAGTTTTACTGACTTCTTGCTTGGGTCTATTGTGGATGAATGGATAGAATTAATGTGTAAAATCTTATAGTTCTGGAGGTGGTGAGGCTGAAGTGAAGAAGTGTGTTTACACAGGCATGGCAGTGGTTCACAGTATCACCTCTACCTTGAAGTAAGACTTGCCTGGATTGCACGCAAAACACTACTTTTCACTGTACCTTGGTACATGGCAATAATAAATCAAATTAAATCAAACCCATGTTGGAATTATGTTTGACGTGAGAGGGAACGACCTTCCTACCTCACCACCAATTGAGGCCCTCCAATGGTCGATCGATGACCACTTTGGGGCCTGAACTTGCTCCTATTGCTTCTGAGACTTTTCCAGCAGTAAAAGCACCTTTTGAACTTACCACCTCCTGGATGCAAAAAAATAGGGTGCAGCCACTTGTTGTGTGAGTGGGGCCCTTGATCAAAGGGGCTCAGTGCCTGCTTGGGAGGATGGCTATTGAGAGCAGTCACCCCCTCATCCAATCCTATCCCTGTCACTCACACAGTATAAACCCACCCATCACCCTCGCAAATCATTTACTATGCTCCTGCGTCCTCGTACTTTGGTGTTGCTGTCCCAGCAGCTACCATGGCACCTTGTTCCCCTGACAACTTGTGGAAGGTGGGATTTCCATCTTCAGAGGACTAATTCCAAAGGACAGCCTGCCACTGTCATCAGAACTTTGGCAGATGCCCTTAGAAAATACAGTGTGGGTTTCTTGCTGCCTTACAGCTGGCAGGCGAGAGCTATACCACCAAGAGAAGATTGCATCCAGTGAGACAATTATATTATCAAAATGGAAAAGGGTGAAAGACATGAACTGTTGTTTTTGTCTGACTTTCTTTCGATTCTGTATTTTTGGTTGGATTGCTGAGTGGGTAGTGGGTCAAATTTTAACAGTGTTCACATTGTTTGTTTCATTACACCCTGGTCATTGCCAGTATCATTGTCCATGGTGTATAGGGATGTGCAGGCGAGGTGGATTAGCCATGGTAAATGTGGCTGTTAAGGGAATAGGGTAGGGGTCTCGGATCTGGGTGGGATGCTTTTCGGAGGGTCGGTGCAGACTCAATAGGTCAAATGGCCGATATCCACACCATAGGGATTCTGTGATGCTTGTGGAAGAAACTGTTAAGTGTTGACATTTTCATCTGGTCAATACATCTCCAGTGTAATGCATCAGTTCATTCAACCAACCAGAGGAGATGTTCTTCAAAGAATTGACAATGTTGTTGAACATTCCACTATCAAGTTGAAAGAGAAAATTATGTTGTGTGATTATACGGTATTAATTCTTAATGTGTTTGGAATTCATTGACCTGTTTAATTTAAGGCCATGCTATTTAAAGGCTTTACAATAAGTCTTTCTCTCACGAACTACACAGAATAATCAGATGCATTCCCAGTGCTTTCAGACAGCTCTGCAGTTTCTGAAATGTTGAATTGTCAGGCAATTTACACCAAAGAATGACACTGTCTTTCGGATAATGTGAAAAGGTTTTTGATGGACCAGTTTCAGACAACCTAGACAACATGTGTGCTAATTATAATGGTGTCACAAATTGCTATGGTGGGACATTTGGGTACAAGTATAACTATGAAGATCGATTTTCTTTTGCAAATTACAATGTGGGTGTATGACAACATAGAGGTAAAAGTAAGAGAGAAAGCATAATGACTTTATGTACCTCTTAGAGGGTCCTCCTCAAGTTCTCTCTCCAGAAAGTATCTATTATCTCCTAAACTCAGTTATGCAGCTCTCTTTAATGGCCTTCTCCGGTGATTTATTTCACCTGTCTATTCCTTTTGAAATGTAAAGGTTCAACCCTAATTCCTGATTTGTTTAAATTTGTGCCTTATCCCACCTTGTATTTGAGCCCTTTACTGCAATGAGCTATCTGCTTGCTCAGCATTACCAATCCATCCTCTGTTATTTTCTGTGACACCCATCATGGGTTTGCGTGCCCCCAACTGTTACACTGCATCACTGCGTCGCATACTGTCCAACCAAATATTGTGATGGTGTTGTGAGTCTGTCTTTGGAAAGTATGATTGACATGCATTCTATTTTTTATTTGCATTTAGGTGGATGCCCATGGAAACATCCTGCTTTCAGCCCTGGAGATTCACAATGAGGTTACAGCAACAGAGGTTACCACAAGTGTGACCGAATCTAGGAATTCAGTGATGTCCTTTGACAACTCAGGAATTCAGTACAGGAAACAAAGCACAGCTCGAGAAGGGCTAGGCCGCAGCACATTGGACAGAAATGCTGCCCAGGCCAAGAAGAACCGTTTGCGAAGAAGGTCCTCCCAGCTAAAAATTAAAATCCCCAATCTGACTGACGTTAACGCCATAGACAGGTGGTCAAGGATAGTGTTTCCGGTCATTTTTTCTCTGTTCAACTTGATCTACTGGCTGTACTACGTAAACTGATACTAAGGTACCATGTGCAAAGTACTGCGGACTCCCTTTTATTGTACAGGGTGAAACAACTGCCCAGTCATTATAGGAATGCAGAATGCAGCCCCGCAGCTATGGGAATCTTTTTGCTGTAGAACAAAAGCTGTGATAAAATGTGAGGGAAAATTTAATTTAAAAAAAATCTCAGAGAAAATGATAAATGAAGATACCCTCAAAGAGAGAGAGAATGACATTTAATAAGCCTTGAAAAAGCTTGTCATACTTTGCATGAGACCATGTCATATAAACAATGAGTTATCTGCCATATACACTAGGAATTGTAAAAATTTAGTAATTGTTTGGACCTTGCAAGAGTTGCTTTTTCTTGAAGCTTTTTTTTTAGCTATTTCTAAATACAATGATCACGGCTGGTTAATATACGGTATTTAGTTAATTCTCACAGTGTTCTGCAGCATTATAGTTCAGTGTGGAACCTTGCAGTATTGTTACCAGTACATAGCACAGGATGAATGCAGAATTAATTTGGCAGTGAATGATGTTGAGTGATTTAATCATCTTACACTCTGTATAATAATCATTGATAATTTATTCATGGGCAGAACTTGGGGATTGGTTGCTCTTCATGGTTAGACATTGTGTAAATATTCTAGTTTTAGTACTTACTTTTCATTTAATCCCATTTTCCAAACAGATATGGTAAATGCTGTAGTTTGCTCAGTGGTAACTTCATGAACATTCCTGCATACTGTTTGAATTCTTTGATGTTCCATTTAAAAAAAAAATAAAACGTAAAAAAAATAAAATTGGTGATAATTAGTTGACAGAGCAGCAGTTTGGGACAAAGGGTTAAACAAGTGGCTGCAACTAAGGGATTCCAAGTGCTCACTCTTAAGCAGAGTCCAGGCTTGGTATATCATCCTTTGGTTTCATATCACAAGAAGATAGATTAGGGGCTGTAATGATGCAGTGATACCTCTGAACAAAATGGTCTGGGTTCAAGTCCCACCCAGCTCTGATGATGTCATCATTTGTCTGTGATGATTAAAAATAACTGCAAGAGGATTGTCAAAGTGCATCCACGAATGAACAGCACTGATTAGATTTGATAGAATTTTACAGGTTATCTTGGGTACACACATTCCATTAGCTGTGATGTGTAATGGCACTGTCAAGTGCACTGATGAAGACTTCGACACCCTGGGAGATGGATGTATGGGATGCATAAGGTGGCAAAGGAAGACAAGAGCCCATTGCCTTCCCATGGCCATGCCATTTTCCCTGGGATGGAGAAGGTAGTGGATCACTCTCCTGCTCATAGGTCAATTGAATTATGTAAGGGGACAATTAAGACCCTTTATCCACTGCTGTTCGCATTGGTGAATGGACCCACTGCCGCATGGGGAGACTGTGTAGTAATCTCCCTGAAGACTTGCTTGGTGCCCCCTGTATGCAGTCACTCTTTGACCCACAGAGGCAATCTCCCTAGCTGAAACGGTCAGCTGCATGGCACCCCCTGTCCCCTATCTTCATCTGCTCCTTTCTGTCCCTGCCCCATTCTATTGCTAGGGACTGTTTGACCATTAACTTTGCCCCCAAACCTCACTTATCAAATTCGGATGTTCCATGGCATTGTCTGCTTATGGGAACAGCACCAACAATGGAGAAAGACAAAAAAAAGTATAACATAATTTAGATTAATGCTTCACGGTAACCCTGTACTGCACCAAGCGATTGAAGGCTTTAGCTGTTTTTATAAATGTCACCATTTCTGTATCTTTTGAGATACTTTGGCACCACGGGCATTAATTCTGTTTACTTCCACCTTCTCCATTTACCTTGTCCAACATGGAGCTTTCATGCCTGTGACTGATTCCCCCAATGAGTTTTATCTGGCATGAGAACTTAGAACTAAGAGCAGGAGTCAGTAATTCAACCCCTTGAGCCTGCATTGCCATTTGATACAACTATATCTGATCTCATCCTGGCCTGAACTCCACTTTCCTATCTGCTCTCCATAACCCTTCAACCCATTACTAATTAAAAATATTTCTGTCTCCTCTCTAAAGGAGGGGTAACTATGAGGGCTCCTCCATCTTGAGAATTTGAATGAATTAATGCATGCCAACCCTACGGAGGAAGGAAACCCTCCACAGGATAGACCTCATGGCTGGATGATGTATGCTGCTCCACCGTTGGCTAGGTGCTGGTGTGATT